AAAAAAAAAAAAAATCAAATAAGATGTCCCAGAAATAAATATTTCACAATAATGGTGTGGAGAGGAGGGCTGTAAGGGGGGAAGGGGGGCCATAAAAAAAAAAAAAAAAAAAGAAAGAAATGTGTTATTGTGCCATTTTTAATCTTCCTTATCTTCTGATGCTGTGGAGGGAAATCTGTGGTCATCCTTCATTTCTTTATATTTTGCTTTCAATGAGCCAGATGTTCTGATGTTTGTGCAGCCATACTTCTGCATGCTTTCACAAGAGTTTAACACTATTTATAATTATTTTAGGTCAATTCTGATCATTTTCACGTCAGTAACAAGTTATTTAGAGAAAGCACTGAAATCAGAAAATAAAAAATAAACAGAAAAAATGAAAGTTTTCTCTGCTTGAAACCAAAAGACCATTTCAAACTACACACTGCAGTCATTTTATCAGCTTCAGACCAACCAACAGTTATTTTTCACCAAGATTTTTATTAAAAATCACTTAGCTGAAACCTGGATTACAGAATAAACACCAGGGTAAAGTGAACATGCACGTGAAGGATTAGTGACAGTCAGAATTTGTCCACGACAGGACAAATCACATGGTTCCAACATTTATTTCATGTGATCATCTTGTGTGGCCTGCTCTGCAGATAAAATAATAAACGATGTGTTCTTGTTATAATGAGGTAACAAAGTGTTTCAAACCTTTCTTCACGTGCACACAGAACAGAATGGACCCTCATGTCAGGCTTGAGTGAAACATCATCAGAGTTTAGTTAGGTACAAGAACTGGACTGTAAATGAGTAAAAACAAACGGTTGGTTTTAAATTTAAATAAATCCTAAATGGAATGTACTTATATAACAGCTTTCTATCTTATTAAGACACTCAAAGCTCTTTACAACACTCTGTGCCTCATTTATCCATTCATACAGCATTCTACTGGATCTATACAAAGATTAATCAGTGTTTATCGCATTCATACACTGATAGGACACACATCAGAGGCAATGAGGGGTTCAGTGTCTTGCCCAGGGACACTTCAGCATGTGACTGCTGGTGGAACTGAACCCTCAACTCTTGCATTAAAGGACGACCGCTCTAACCACTCAGCCACAGCTGCCCCAAATAAATAAGCTCCTGTACATTGTTCAAGAAACACAAAAGACAAGATCTTTGCTCCATTATGGGTAAACATGATGTTCCAGACATTTCGTGGTTTGTTCAGATGAAACTTTACAAACCTCATGTGCTGCCATAACCTTTAACCTTTCCCCTGCTGACTGAGGCCTGTGGAGTCTGAGAGGGAGATTTTGGTTTTGTTGTAATTTCTCTGATCAGTGCACAGTCGGACCTCGGGGCAGCCATCTTTATGAATCATCATTCACTCTCAGACTGCAGGTTTACTTGTGGTTCTTAAAGTTTCCAAAAGCAGAATGGTAGGAAGATCTTTCAGTTATCAGGCTCCTCTCTTGTGGAACCAACTTCCAGTTTCTGTCCATGAGGCTGACACATTGTCCAGTTTTAAGACTGGGCTTAAGACTTTCCTTTTTGATAAATCCTATAGTTAGGGTTGGCTTGTTATGTTGCCTTAAGCTTAGACTACTAGATGACAAATTGACCTCATTTCCTTAAATGATTTGTTAAAATTGAATAGTTTTCATTTGATACTATTTCTATCTTAACATGTGATTCTTGACCTGCTATTGTGTATCTGTTCCTCTCAAACTCAACTGGTCCAAGTAGATGGAGCTTGTCCTGAGCATGGTTCTGCTAAAGGTTTCTTCCTCATGAGGGAGTTTTACTTTCCACTGTCGCCTTCATGCTTGCTCAAGATGAGTGTTCTGTGATGGAGTTAAACTCAAAGCAGTCTGCTCCTCAGATAAATAATGTTCAATTATTATTTTTTACATATGAATGTTTCTGTTCAGTGATGTGTTGTGACGGGTGAGGCTGACTCGTCTGGAATCGGATGCTCACATAAATGAACCCAAAATAGAAGTTTATATTTCAATTTAGACTTTTTTAAAGGCATCTGATTATGTTTTAATCAACTCCATATTCCTCTCTTTTTAAATAAATTTAGAAAAAACATGTATTATCTTACATTTATTTTAAGATGAATGAGTTTGGAAAAATCGTTTAGTTCTGAGATATGATCTTCCACCCCCGGCCCTCTGTGCAACAGAAGAACGTTCAGAGACGTTTCATTGTGCCTATGGGGTAGCACTGCACCTTTACAGAACAACAGCGTTCAGTCAGCTCATCTGCACAGTTTCTTTTTTTGTTGAGACACATTCCACTCTCCATCCGAAGGGCTCATCAGTCTGAGGAGTCACAAACAAACCGTTTTCCCCACCAAGAAGTACACTCCTACAGAGGAACAACCAGTTTGCTGGTGATAAGATGGTTTCTGTGAGCCGTCCTCTCTCCCGTCGACTCCAGGCAGCCACGGCGAAAGTGGAAAATGCTGATTTTTTTTAACCTGAATTATTGAGCATGAACCTTGATTTTTATAAAACAGTCAAATGTATTTTCTCTGATCATTGTCAGTATTTTACTTGTCATGATATCAGGTGATACACCCCCCCCCCCCCCC